TCCCCACAGTGAGCAAAGGAGATAGCCCATTGTGTAGCTTTGCGCTAAAAACATATAAACAAATTATTACATCTGAAAGTGTTTCCGATGAAACGTTCTTTGAAAGTAATTTTCAAAATGTATTGCCAGAAAAATAATTGTGATTTTAATTCTTTCTCCAAGTTGTTGGGTAGAGGTGTAACCTCTACATTATTACAACGGATGAGGCAAAAAAAAAAGGCAATCTTGTAATATTCTAGGTATTATACGTAGATATAGGTATCTGTGTGAGATGTGCTATATAATTTTAACTGTATACACTCCATTGGTCAAAAGTGAGAGATTATGTTATTGTTTGTACGTTCTTTCAAGTTTGTATTGAATATCTAAGAGTTTCATGATCTTACACTCGCCAATAGGCGTACTGCTCTTATGTCCATGATAGTGTAAGGAAGTTGCGGACGGCGTCACAACTAGGAGGAAAAGGTTAAGTACCTAAAACTGAAGGACGAAATAACACTGATTACGATCATACTTGTGTCAAACTGTGGACGTATCCTTCTAGTGAGGCAACAACTACAAAATGTAAAGTACGTTTTTCAATACAATTCAAAATTGTAAAAATGTTCAATCGTAAAACATCGATTGAAAATCGTACGGCTTATATTCTATATACGAGAAAATGGGGTTTTACTGGTCTTCTCAAAATGGACGCACAGGCCGCGTGTCTTTTTATATATTTTGGAAAACAATTTTTCCAGAGCGTTATGAGTAATGAGTTGTTTTATTATGATTGTTACAGACATACTGCATGGGCAAATGTTACAAAATTGAAATTTTCGAACAAAGTATAATAATTTTTAAGCATTTCCATTTTAATTTATCTTACTATTTTAGATTAATCTGTGGTTTAAATAGAAAACACTGAAATACTATCTCTACACGAAGTACTTATTATCTAAAAATTCGGATATTGAGTTCACTTCTAAGAGTAGAGAATTAATTACTGGTAATAATAAAGAGTGTCCGAACTGTCCATAACTCTTCAAGATTGGTATAACCTGTTTACATAATTTATTTTTGAAAATACCAGTGATAACTAATAACATTACAGTAGTTAGAAGAACAGTTATAGTCTTAATGTATTACACGACGAACCATTTCCCAAGACAAAAGATTTTCATCAAGGCCTACGAAATAAGCAAAACATCTGTTACCTTCGAAATTCTTTTGGTAAAAATTAAGTATTTTAATTAGACAAAAATAATCAGTCGTTCCCTAAGATTATCAAAAACAAATACATAGGAAAATGAATGACGTTTACTGAAGTCTATGGTTTCAGAACGATGGGTGTAAGTAACAGCCAGCATTTGTTTAGAATTAGTTCGAAACTAAAATATTCATAATTATTAAGAATTGAACCACTAGGGTTAGTTACCCTCCTAATATGTATGTGAAGATTGGTAACGTTTGTTTCCATGGATGATTCCTAATCCTCATGGCATGGCCAGAAGGTTAGAGCTCTTGACTCGCAATATGAGGGTCGCGGGTTCGAATCCCCGCCCCGCCAAACATGCTCAGCCGTGGAGGCGTTATAATGTAATGGTCAATCCCACTATTCGTTAGTAAAATAGTAGCCCAAGAGTTGGCGGTGGGTGGTGATGACAACTGCATTCCCTCTAGTCTTTCACTGCTAAATTGGGGATGGCTAGCGCAGATAGCCCTCGTGTAGTTTTGCGCGAAATTCAAAACAAACCAAATAAGAAAAAGACTTAGTTTATTAAAGTGTATTATACACCTATATGTAAAGAGAATCAAATATCTTATCTGCAGCTCACGCCACTCTGTAATACCCGATTTATTAAACCCATGTTAAAATGTCTCACTGTTATCCTCATGTAAAACAAGTCACATATTTAAATAAAAATAATGTTATATAGGAGTAATGTAAATATAAATACTTAAAACTGTTACATTTTTAAGTGATTAGACAGAAAACTGCAAAGCCGAAATTAAATAATAGAAATATACTTAGAAATGCTTAAAACTATAACACTTGTTTAAGTAATTGGCCAGAAGAAAAACTTCCCAAGCCAAAATTGATAAAAAAAATAATAATCCATGTTTATTTCAGTACTCCTGCTAATTCATGGAAATGTAAGTCACTGCATCCACGGACCCAAAGTGCGGGACGCGAACATCGGATTCACAGTCCTGGCACGTTAACTAATTAGTCACGCCCGGTTTCCAATAGTTGCGGAATTATTTCAGACTGCTTAAAGTTTGTCTTCTCCGAATTTGTATAAAAGGAAAATAATATATTTTGTTGTACACGAGTTAGAGGTATTTGCGTCACAATAACTTTTTTAAATTGCATATGAAAATTTTTACAAAGTTAGTAACACAAAATGTAGTTGATTGTTTTCGTGCTAGTAAGCCTAGAATAGGTTGCTAAGCTCTGAGGCGGAAGAAAAACGTTTACGTTCGTCTTTCAATGTTTGGACATGAATACAAATTACAAATGCGGGTTGGAGATGATAAAGGTGTAATAGAAATTTTACACATTCAGGGAATTCATTGCTTAGTATTCAAAGGCACAAAAGTCAAATCATATGACGTCCCTTCAACTTATTGTTCAGCTAAAATACTGTGTTGTTTTTCTTTGTTAGCTGTCGTAAGATTCGTATGTACAAACAAGGCCTAAGTGTTAAATAACTATACACGGTTGTTTGACAAATATCAAGAAGTTCTTGTGGAAGCTGGAACGAGTTTTTAGCTGATACGTTTATGATATCGCAAGTGGATTTTTTTATAAGTTATTGCTCAGTTATTCTATGTAAAGGGCTGCAGTTTCGTATTTAAAAGCGGATTAACAATACAATTATTTTTTGTAAAGAGCTGTAGTTTCGTATTTAAAAGCGGATTAACAATACAATTATTCTTTGTAAAGGGCTGTAATTTCGCATTTAAAAGCGGATTAACTATTCTTTGTAAAGGGCTGTTGTTTCGTATCTAAAAGTGGATTAACAATACAATTATTCTTTGTAAAAGGCTGTTGTGTCGTATTTAATAGCGGATTAACAATACAATTGTACTCATTATATTTTAGATTGTCTGAAATAAATTTAGTGTTGTTATATGACTTAAAAACTTTAGACTGACAAACTGGAGACACTATTGAATTTCGCGCAAAGCAACTCGATGACTATCTACGCTAACCGTCCCTAATTTAGAAGTGACGGGCTAAAGAGGAGGCAGATAGTCAAAAACCACTCGCCGCCAACTCTTTGAACACTCTTTACTAACGAAGAGTTGGATTGACCGTCACATTTTAACGCTCCTATGACTGAAAGGGTGAACTTGTTAGGCGATTGATTTCTGTCCCTCAACTCGCAGATTGCGACTCGAGCGCTCTAACCACCATACCATGCCAAACATTCATAATTTTTATACAGGTCTTAACAACAGTAGTGCCACCGAAAATGTATTTAAAGTTATGCGTATGATATATCATAATTAAGTAACGCATCATTTAAGATTGGTATTTTTATGGTAAATTCAGGTTTTTAAATAAAAAAAAAAATCGAGAAATCCACAAGAAATATTGGTTTGAATTTCGCGCAATGCTATACGAGGACTATCTGCGCTAGCCGTACCTACTTCCAGTGATAGACTACAGGAAGGGCAGCTAGCGATCACCACCAATTCTTTGGCTACTATTTTACCAACGAATAGCGGGATTGACCCTCACATTATAACACCCCCACGATTGACTGAATGAGCATGTTTGGTGGGACGGGGATTCAAACCCGCGACCCTCAGATGATGAGACGAGCACCCTAACCACCTGGCCAAGCCAACAAGAAAGACATTATAGAAGTTATCATAGTGTTAAATGCTTTTTTGTAAGACATCAAACAAATATAAAATTTGATATGTATTTTATTATTGAGTTCATAAATATCGTGTCAAAACAGGAATAATAACATTCAACCAACTCAGCCATTATGGTTTTATTGAATAACAGACAATTTTACAAATAGTAAAATTTCATGCTTAAATTCACAAGCGATACATTACAACATTGTTTTCATTTGCGTTCATTAAATGAATGCGAGTCATTCCTTCAGATCGCTGAAAGGTATTCTGAATAATCTAATTATTATCAATATAACCAGAATATAAATGTAAATATACCATGGGAAGACTTAACGAATTCGACTAGTCCTCTAATTAATTCAATAAAAATATTAAAACACGCTTCGCTGGGTGAATTTTAATTAGTTTTATAACTTGCGAAGTTATTTATTTTTGTAAATACCTTTATTATTTAAATTAGGATTCTATGTTTATTGTGCATTTGAAAAAAAAACATAAGATATATTGAAAAAATGTATCATCATATTTTTCTGTTAACTTGTTGTGTCACAATGTAAGTAGGTTTTGCAATGATATTAAATTACATTAGGCAATGTAATACCTTACAGTTTTCCTCTCCTTTTATTCTACATTGTCTTTTTATAACTCTAAATTAAAGTAACATTGGAGTTAATTCTATCAATACCTCTGCGTTTTGAAATGTAATAAGAAAATCCTCTTCATTAATGTATTTATTCTACTATCCTAAAATGAGATTGAAATGTATACTAAAATATTAGAAATGCCTAAAATCATAGTTACAATACATTTACTGTTCATATTTTAATTTAATAATAACTATGCAATAAATAATAAAAATATCTAAACACGTGATCAAATCCAATGTTCTAATTGGATTATTTGTATTTTAAAGTACACCACTAAGCTTGAAATCAGTGAACCTTAGCTAATGTGATCCATTAATAAATGTATGTTTTTAATGGGTAATATTCTGTGAATTGTTAGACAAGTTATTTTGTTGTTTTTATGGTGTATTCTAGGTTCACTAAAAATACTTCTGAATAAATAATACAAAAAGGACTTCGTAAAGATTACAATATAACCCAAAGTGAGATGTATATTTTCGTATTCTGCATTTTACAAAAAAAAAAAAAAGATTTAGATTCGTGATATAAAAGAAAATTTATAGCATTACGTAAAAGATGAAAGTTCTGCAGACCCCAAAGGCATAAAACTTGTAAACCGGGTGTTTCAAAAGTCACTTCCACTGCCTACAACTACGTCAATAAACATATGAACACAATGTTGCGAAAGTCGACGCGTAAACCAACTTGACCACTAGTAAAGACAACATACGCATTGCAATGACTTCTTCAAGCCTGCTTCAATAGATTTAGAGGGATAACCCAAAGGTACCATGTAGTGTGGTCATGATGGTATCATAACATATTCGACTTATCAGCAGAAGTGACTTTTTTTAAACATCAGATATATAAACCATTAGGGTCCCACAATGGATTAATTTTTGTGATACGTAACAACATCACTAAAGTAAAAAAAAATACAAAAAAATCTTACAGTTACACAGTTAAGTAAATTAATAAGTAACATGCTTTAGTGTTTTTTTTGTTTTTTTTGTTGTTGTTTTTTTTTATGTTAAACAGTTTATCTAGTTAGTACTTATTGGATGGCATGCTTATATCAAGTGAAAGAAAAATGAAAGCGGAATTTGGGGTCTTATGAGCCCCAAAATTGAAATTGCTTCTGTGCTAGTCAAGGCAATCATATATTCTACTAAGCTCTTTATGCAATATACAATACGTCCATATTTAAAATTTTCAATATTCAGGTAATGATTAGTGACTCCTTTTTTAAAGTGAGGCCGAGACTTAGATTGTAACTTTTAACTATAGTAATGTGTACAGAGTGATTATAAATAAAATCCCATATCTAAGAAGATTTTATCGTTAAAACTACTGTCCCTAGGGGGTATGAAATTCTTTCAGATACATATTGATAATCATGCGTTTTATTAAGGAATGTTTGGATATTTTATAAGCTGTTTCAGAAGTTATCACAGACGATGTTCAGTGTGTTTTCTGTCATTTTCGATCATGTCAGGTTTACCCATAAATGAAGCCACTTCATGCATTATTGTTCTAAACAATATTCATTGATCTTCACAATATCCTAGGGTTAAGGAGAGAATTAAAAAGTTAAATTTCAAATGTGGAGTTACTCTTTATAATCACCCTGTACTGTATATGGCATGTAGAGAAAATATAATAAAAGCAGTTTTATACATGATGCATGAACTGATTGAGATGTCATCAATTGAAATAACAAGTCCTTTTCTCAAACCACAATTTTTACGAAAAGTACACATTTGATCTACTGTGCGTAAAACACCTGTTATTTGTATGGAATGATCATTTGTTAGTTGAGTTAATGACATGATATTAAACTGAACATTACATAGAGAAATTAATACATATTTCTTTTTCTCCTTATAGCGGTTAGAAGATGCCTAACCAGCGACTCTTTGAAACAAACTGTCAGGTATAGATTGTAAAACAAAACCACTATTTATACATGTATGAATACAACATAGACACTTATAGAGCTCTAAATTTTAATGTAAACTCGGCTTTTCCAAACATTTATCAGATTTGAAATCCTTCGTCACACTACAAACGTCAAGTCGTCTATCTGAAATTTCAGTGTCACCAGCAGTAGTTATCTAAGTGATATAAGAATCTCGGGAAAAAATGTTCACGTACACGAATACATATATTACTTCACCAACAAGTCTTTTAATATTTATAAGGAAATAATAACTCATTCACTGTGTCTGACAAGACAAGGACAACCTCAACGACAATAATGTTAAATCAACACGAATTTCGTCCTTGTTTCTAACAGTTGTTCAGTCAACGAATCCTTCTGTATCGATCGAGCCGGTATGCCAATCCACTGATCCTTATTTTATTATTATTATCACCACAGGAACTGGCTATTTTACTCACGCCTGAAGTTATACAATGTCACACGCCTTACATGTTAGAGCAACAGGCGACAGTACGAAATGATTGCCTCTCCATTAGTTTAAAAAAAGTTTCTTAATTGTAAACTAAAACATTTCAAAATATTACTTTTGATTTAATTTTTCAAAACATATCTACTGAAACATTTTAAATTTCTCCACAGATAGCCCTCGGTCCTTTAGTTGTCTTAAAGATTGGATTTAAAATAACTAGCTTGGGAGAATGTACTGACGTACCATCACAAATAATTTACCATGTCCATTCATACAATTCCATCTGTGTACGTGGCTACCACCAAGGCTATAATTCTTAATCGCTTATAGCGACAACAGGTCAAAGACATTTTCCAATTACTTTAACCTTGATGGTCTGTTCTGACCCTGAATTTCCGTTTTATTTCAATATCATCGTATCATAAAACTGCAGACACACAAAAGCCTTTCCAAACTGACACGGAGCATTAAACAGTCCAAATCAGATCTTTTTAATTTTATAAGCCATACTTTTTTTAGCATGCTTATATGCTTGTCGATTCAGATTTTTCGGAAGATACCTTCAAACCCTTTCACTGATTAGTTCTGCCGCTGGGCAGATTCTGGATCCAGGAGAATCCGTGCTGTCAAACTTCATATACATTGACTTGACTACAGGACTCTGGGCTGTGTTGGATTGATTGAAAAAACTCCCATGTTTTGGCTTCAGGTGGCGGTTGTTCATTTCCATGTGAACAATCCGCATGAATTCAACCTGCGCTGCTAGTTTTTGGACCTCCTCCTTGAAAAATAATATTGGTTTTAATGTATATTTCTTATCTATCTATGCCATGGTTGGTAATTACGACAGCATTAGTATCAAAATTTTGAATAATTACAGAACTATCAATGAAAACAAATCTAAATCTATAAGTTTTTATAGTTATTTCCTCGTAATGCAAAACCTAATGACCAACTGAACGACAAATGTTTTCTTATTTCCATTTGAGAAAAAAAAAATATATGAGGTTTTTAATAAACTTGCGTATGGTAAATAGATATTTATAATTGATATAGAGGTTGATTTATATTTAGTAATCTTCAAAAAATATCCACACTATTCTATTTGGGAGTTGAGATAATTCACGATCAGATATTGAGATGATATTCTGAATAATTTAATAAAATACTCCGAACACCGAAATCATTATATTTTTCCTTTACCTAATAAGTTAGTGAAATGTAAAAAAATACAGAAAACTTGTTTAAAATATCTCTTCGATAAAGATATTGCCATAGTGCAAATAGTCCTATATTAGCATTTTTGTTCTTTCACATACACAGTTCGAAACTTTGTGACTAAAATTATTATTAATAGAATGTGAAACAAGGAAATTACCTTTATATGCTAAAATTACATAAAAGATCACCAATTGTAATAAATTCATATTTATTCGTATGAAACTATCACGCACTTCTCATGTGTTATAATGCTTTAATTTTTTTTATATATTTGTTTAGTTTGAGATTACATGACGAGAATGACGTCCATATATAAAAAAATACATTTTTAATTAATCTAAAAACATGAACAAGTATGATTACCAAATAAATGCTTATCAAAATGTTTATTTCACAATTAGAAGCAAAGGTTTATATTATTAGCCCCTCGGATGGCTCTGCGGTAGGTTTGAGGGCTTGTAACGTTGTAATTCGGGGTTCGATTCTCAAGGTGGGCACAACGCAAATACCATATTCTACAGCTTTGTACTAAACAAATAAACAAAATATTATGTTTCTCGTTTGCTTCGATATTTGACTTTAAATAATTGTTAATATTTATTAGTATTATTACTTGATAATGGATTGTTCATCATACCTTCAGCTCTTCGTTTTCTTGATACAAATCTGGTGTTTCTTCATGCACCAGTCCTACTCCATTTAGTGAGAAGGATGCCGTTACCCCACGAGCCCGGGCACGATTGTCCCATGTGTCTCCTTGACCTTTAACTACCCGGTAAAACTAGATGGTTAAGATAAAAAAAAACTAAAATCTTTAGGTTTTGCTGAGTTTAGTATTTCTAAAGTCATAAGAGCGTCCTTATTGTGAAATTGATAGAAGCTATTGTGATTTAAATACTATATCAATTTTGTGATCTGTTCGTCTTCGTTTTATGTTAACTTTGTTGAAACATATTACGTATCATTTCAATATGATATATCAAATCATAATATCAATTACCTTAGGGCCAAAGATAAAAATGATGGTGACTGTTGTACTCAACTGGATTCTAATAAAACCGAATAGGTATTTTACATCGGGATCAGCACTTGGTAGAATCACTAGACTGGAAGGAATAAAAAGTAATAATTATTCAATGAAAATCATAAACAAAAAATGCCAACTACATTATTTAAAAATATCTTAAAACTCTGACGTAACATAAACTAATGGTTGACATACTGTATCATAACCATGATAATATTGACACAAGTAATACTGTAGATGGCCCAACTGATGTGTTTCGCCTCATTGAAGAAGGATTCGGCGTTTCGAACGTTGTAACAAACACGGATCCCCCAAAGCAGAAAGAGGAATTCTCCTTAAAAAAAAAAAGAAGAAGAAGAAGAAGCATAATTAGATGTGTTACAGGAGAACAGAAGTTGAAAAAAATCGTAAGTATTCACTGCAATTCATAGTATTTTTATATAACTGCCGCCATAAGTCGCTTTTGTCTGTTTCAGTTTCTATTAATAAACAGGTGTATCATCAAACCCACCTATGGCTAAACTGTGGTCCCACCAGTTATAGTCACACTGGCGAAATTTTAAGTTGAACCAGTCGTGGATATAGATGGCCTCAGGGGGTGAAGAGATAGTCCACGAACCCAGGTAGATTCCCATGATGAAAAGGATAGGAAATAACCACTGGAGAAGCTGTCTATCTGTTAGTTTCAACTTGTGGGCGGACTTCACACGGTACGTTAAGGATACCCTATGGTGGGAGATGTACACTGTTTTAAAGAAATACTAACATAACTGACTGGCCACATTATTATGATCTTCACCTAACATCAAACTGATAACCTTTAGCAGCAATAATTACATGAACTTTGTTTTATTTTATTGTAGCCCACTCGTCGAATAGTGTGGTCTACAATGAGTTCAAAGATGTCAGTAAAACATGGTAACGTTTAAGATCTTCTCAATAATGTTCATTCGTATTGAAATTCAGTTATAGTGCTGGTATAGGCAGGTGAGTGAAGTCGATATCGTGCGCTTCCTAATTTTATAGAACGCAAACTCTGTAGAGTAATGCATTATCGTTTTGGAATAACCATTCCCAATCGGAGTGGGTGTGCAACATTATGTGGTGTACATAATCTGGATGATATTTTCCCTTCGAAAGGAATCAAGTTATTAATGCTCGAGCCCCCCTCCCCCCAAAAAAAGAATTCTCTAGAAAGAAAAGAAGTGCAGGAACGCACTATATAATTGTAACAAGAGTTAAAAATAACTAAAAATAACATACCTATACCAGTGTTCTTTCAGTTAATGAAAACTGAAAAGAAAACGGCCAAACCAAAAACAAAAACAAGTTAGCAAAGTATAAACTAAAGTTTTTTCTTGTTGTGAAAACTAGTGCCTGAAACTAACTATGGTTTCTGTTCGGAAGACGTTTTTCAACATTTTATCCACTGTTACTATCGCAAAACTAATACGTTGATCTTACTGTGAGGTAGGTGTGTGTTACGAACGCGTAACTAATAATAACCCAATGCACTTCGAGTGTAACAGAGCAAAACAAAAAGAGAGCGAAATATATACAGAATGGATTTGCCCTTTGTTTCTCTAACGGTGTGTATTAATTCATCTGCCCCGCCCCAGTGGCACAGCGGTATGTCTACGGACTTACAACGCTAAAAACCGGGTTTCGAGACCCGTGGTGGGCAGAGCACAGATAGCCCATTGTGTAGCTTTGTGCTTAATTACAAACAACAACAACAACATTAATTCATCTAAAAGAATAGGAATGTTTATTTATTTGTCCATTTCACATTTAGTGTTTACTGAACCTAAAGGGAAATGTGAATTGAGTCACTCCTATGGGAAATTTTGCACACACACACTAACAATATATTCCGTTTTATGCTCAGACAGCGTGAGTTTGCTTGGATACATTTTCACACGTTTGTGGACAAATTCGAACATAGTTTCCTCTAAAAATAATTTTATTAATTACAAAACAAGGTTCCAAAAAAGGTGCCGGAACGACGTTCCAGTCGTTCTGCTACGACTCGAGTGTTGCAAGTCATATCATTTTGTTCCAGATTTTTTCTTTATCATAAGTACAGTAAAAAACTGACCGCTTCACATGCTTGTAATTATTCTTTATTCACAGTTTACGTTGTAAGCATTAATGAACCAATTAGTTCCTGTTTGCATCTGAGGCAAGCAGTTTTTGGACTGATTGTTGCTGTCATAATGCAACAATTGTGATGCGCTTTGAATGGTACTGTCTGAGATAGTCGAAATTTGACCATATTTGAAAGAGCTGATGTACAATATGACGTCTATTGCACTGCACAACCCTACCCAATCGCATTTTAACCTTGGCCAGTTACCAACAATTGGTAGGCACGATTTTCGAAATGCAGAAATGTTTTCTTTCGATTGCAAATGTTGTTAGACTCTGATAATGAATATTTCTGAAAAGCTGGAAAAAGAAATGTTTTTCTTTGTGGAATATTCTCCTGCTTGACGGACATCAAATATCACGCCTCAAATTTAGAGATATTCTTGTTCTTACCCATTAATCTCCTATGAAATTATAGAATATAAAAAAATTACTGAAAGACTACATTTTGTTATGCAACTGCAATTCAATGGATTGTTTGTTTTGAATTTCGCGAAAAGCTACACGAGGGCTATCTGCGCTAGCCATCCCTAATT